GGGCAAAAAGAGCATGCAAGAGCAGAAACAGGTGTCAGCACTTGACTGGACAGACGATAACACAGGGTGATGATTTTATATTTCTTGTGACTGTGAAGACTTAGAATGAGGCCAGAGTGTGTGTCTTTAATCATGTAACTTCCAGACCTGTGTTCTGTCACACTCCAGATATCTTTTCTGTTAAAACTCTTTCTTTGTCTGGAGTCTAGAAAGATTAGAAACCCTGAGTTGGCGCTTGCAGATCTGTACTTTCAGCCTTCATATACTTGAGATATAGCTCACTGTATAGTATTCTCACAGAGACAGAGAGGTTTACAGAGTTACATAATAATTTCCTATGGCCACATGATCAGGTAAATGTTTAATTGTGACTTACTGCTTGGGCAGCTGGTGATATCAGCAGTGTCATTAGATCCGATTACTGGGGCTTCAGCCACATGTATTATGAGCTTAGCCCCGAATAGTTTTGGTCCTGACAGGATTTCTAGTGTTGCACAGCCACCGTCAGACTTGAGAGTGAAATGTTGCTTGCATTATCAAAAGGATGGGAGAGTAACAAAATAATAAAATAGAAGTTGACTGGATATATATGGACTAAGATTACAGCAAAGCATACGGGAAAGAGGAGGGAGGAGAGAATAAAGGACAAGGAGAGGAGAAGAAGAAGAAGAAGAAGAGAGAGCAGTGGCAACACGAAGACAAAAATAATCTAATGAAACATCCATGTAGGGACTGCAGTGATAAAGGACAAACAAGAACAAACCCAAACATAATCCATGTTCATACTGTAATGGATCAAATGTGTCTTCATGGTATAAGCAGCTTATTAGAATAACTGTATAGTAAATATAAACATTAATATATGTTGTTGTTTTTTTTACATCTACACCCAACAAATTTACACAGATTGAGTGAGCACAGGCCGAGAGAACTGAAAGAAAGGTAAATATAAGTTTTACATGGCATAATAAAGTGTTTGTTGTTGTGTGTACAATAGTATTTTCAATTTATTATACTGATCTTTTCAGCTGCTAGAAATGCCCCTTGGTGATACTGTAAAGTAGATGGTCTTCCTTTGTTACAGCCAAATTTGTTTGAGAGAAAAGTCCCGAGTTGCACTGTTATCTCCTTAATTTACACTCCTCTTATCCACCGTGTATAAATCGCCCATGTGCTGATGTTTTACAACTTCCCTTTCCTCACTTGTCATCTGTTACTGTATCCTTTATGGTTTCATATGATCAGAGATACACCTCCTCACCCTCACTCCCCGCATACATAAAGTGTTGGTGCACATAAAACCAATCACCACACATATCCTAGTGTCTTTGCCTTAGTCTGTCAAATTAGCAACTTTATGGCCTTGGTAAGCAGTTTGCTGCCACACATACGGAAATGTGAACACCCACTATTTGCTACTGTACTTTCTGTGTCTCTCCTCCCATCTTTCCGGACTACCACCCACCTTTTCCTCATCCCTGTTTCCTGGACATGTCATTTGCTGAGTAAAGGGTTGCTGTGTGACCTTCACTAACAGGGAGTGGGAGGTGGTGTATGCAAACAGGAAGCCAATAGGAAGAGGACCTCCTCTGATATAAGGGAAATGACAGCTGTCTGTACCTTGAACTTCATGAACACAGCAGTGAGTCGGTCTGTGCTAGCAGCGGCAGTGGCTTCAGGGCATGTGGTCACTTCGGATGTGAGCAGGGCTGTTTGTAGGCGTGTGCTGAAGAACATGGGTGGCCAAGGGGCAGTGTGTGTAAAGTACAGGGTGGGACATTTCCAGTTTTCTGTAAAACAGACGTCAGAGGTCCTAGTATCCTTAATCATTTTCTCTAACACACACAGAGAACATTAACAGTGCTTTACGTGCCACCGGATGAAGACACACCATCATATCAGTAATGTCACACTGACACTCGCCACACACAAAGAACTGTCTGACGCCTGTACCCTATCTGCTGCGTTCTCATAAGCAGGGTGTCTCATGTTTGGCTCTATTTTTACCGGCAGGTGCTGAAAGCCTCTGGAAGCCCCTTGTCAATGGGAATCTCTTTCCACTGCCACTGGCATGTCACCATTTATTAAGTTGTCATTACTCAGAGGCGGTCCAGCTGCCGGGGTGCCAGAGGATGTCGCAAATAGATCAGCATGGATAGGTCAGACTGTTGCTGCACTCTCTAAAGGTGTCCATAAGGACGTGTTCCAGCACATCTCAGTTCACCGGTGAAGATCAATGCAGGTAGCCATGCAGCTATTAGTCTGGCTAATGCAGATAAATGGGAGGAAGATGGCCTATCAGAGCAGAGGAGAGAGGCAGAGGTTGATGGAGTGGGGCTGAATGAAAGGAGAGGGTATTCATGTGTCTGTCTGCACATGTTTTTGTTTTGGGTAAACAGCTAAAAAGGCTGTTTAAAGTAAAGGGGTGATGAGATACAAGGACATGGGCGCCATGCTTGTAAAAGTGAATACACAATGGAAAACACACAGACACACACATTAAACAGATGTAAGTGCACACAAGCAGTAAATCAACTGTTTAATATGTCTTATTTCCTTTAGTGACCATAGGCTGATTATTTATTTGTATGTTGTTATACTCACCAGGCTAAATGCTGAGATTTGTGCAGTGACATTGCTAAAAAAAAAGTGATGAAACAGGAAACATGATCAGTTAGATGATCAGACAGGTTTTAAAAAAAGTCAACCTTTTAGCCAGAGTATCTAAACCACTTTATCTAGATGTAAAACTGCAAAAACATCTGAAATGTGGGTAATTATCGCTTATACAGGAAACCTGGAGGCCACAATTACAATATATAATAGGTCAAATTGAAACAAGGAAACTGTGCTTTAAAATATGATGGTTGTTTATAGTGGACACTTTGGATAATCATTCTAATGTTTGCCTACATGAGCCTCTAAGGATGATGTTTAAAGAGACAAACTTCTGTTTTATGTTTTCTAGAAAGGACTTAGAATGACAAAGTTTAAAAGAAGTTGTGTTGCAGTTTTATATAATACACACAAACACAGAATGTCAGTTCAGTTACTGTATGATTTACAATGCAGCAACAGTATCAGAAGTGCACAACACTGGTGGGAATGCTGGAATATGAGATTACCCTTACATCACAAGCACACACAGAGCTCAACACGCTCAGCCCCGACCCTCACAGTGTTTTCATTTTGTGTCTTGAAGTGTGTGAGTTGACACATCAGCACTTCTGTTTATCAAAGCTTTTATCACCTCACCACTACTATGTCATCCCCCCTGAGAGGAAACAGGAGGTGCCCACTCACACACTCACACACAAACACCTGTAGGGCCTAAGAGGAGTGGGGGGGAGTGGTGTTGACCTGCCTTGCTGATGTGAATGACTTTACCAGAGACAGGATCTGTCTCAGACTATACAGGTTAACTGCCAGCATGTGTTCCCCTTAACTGTCAGGGTTCATCTGGATAAAGGTTCAAAACCACACTCAAAGGATCCACTCTCTGTGGGGAAAATGTGACTTGTAATTTATGTGGAATATTCCTCTTAACCCTCAGAAAAATTTAAATAAATATGCTGAACGCAAAAGAAAAATGTTAGACATTAACATGGAAGCCATTTTAACAATGAAGACAGATTTTTTTTAAATAATCTTCTTTATAATGTGCTTTGTTGAAGGGTGGGCTTGGAGTGAACATGGTATGGCTATTATAGAAAATAGACACTGTTGTTCAGTCATGCCTGGTTCTGATTTATTTCTCTCCACTTTTCCAAGAACCATGATTGTTTTTCTTTATCCATGTCATCCAGTCGTTTTCATACTAAGTTCCAGACCCACTTTGATTCCAAGTTTCAACCCAAAGAGCCTTAAAAAGTCATCAGCATGCAATGAAAAAAGTTCAATATTTTTTTATATTTCCTGAAAGATTGTTGAGCAAATAATCACATGCTGAAACAGCTGCAGCGTATTGAGTGTCAGATGATGAAAAAGCTGTAATAAATTATTCCAGAATCCTGAAGATAATGTAAAAAATATATATTACTTGTCTATAATAAGCCTCTGTGTTTATTTATCAGCCAGGTGTTCAGAAGCTGTCTATTTAACAAAATCTAACAATTCAATCGCAACTTTTAAACTGTCATGGAAGAGAAGTTCTTACACTGCTCCAAATGATAAAACATATAACATCAACAGTTCCATAACAACTGGATAACATCTGCCTGTAAAGACTGTTATATAGTCTGAAGCTCCAGAACATCTTCTTCATGTGAAATGTGTTTTATTTAGTTAGTTATTTAAACCATTAAATAACTTATACCAGGAAAATGGTCTAGAGAAATGACACCTTCAACTTCAGGGGAAGGTGAACAGTAAAATATTTGAAATATTTTAACAAAGTTGGTGAATAACAAACAAACAAATTAAAAAAAGCCAATCTTTAACAAGATTTTGAATAACTAACTAACTGAGTGCTGGATTGAGAGCCATACCTGAAGACAAGAGCTTCAAGAGGCTTTAAAATCTCTATAGCATATGACACAGTCCATTCTTAGATATATACACACACACACACACACAAATAAAAACTTTAATGGGGAAAATGGAACATCAGGAGCAGCCACCAAGAAGGGAGGGAACCTTCTTCCAGAAGATCTGAACAGTCCTCTGTGAAATTTAAACATTGCTTTGTTAAATGAAATGTATTAAAGGTGAAGAGTTTTGTGAAAGAGATACTGGAACAAAGGAAATGAAGAACTGATGACTAACAAAATAGGAAATAAGGGTGGAAAAGACAACACTATAAAACCCTAATC